TGGATTTTGTTTTTCATGTTTTTAATTACCCATCTTCTAGTATGTCCACCATCAAAAATACTAAATGAAAAATTCCAGACATAAATAATTTGCAAGTATGAAATTATGTGCTGTGTGTCCTGATGAAATCATTCTTAGTTCTGCTGTGTCCTGTCCAGATTCTGAATCATCCCTTTGTCCAGGCTGTCCATGGCATATACATTATATACTTTTCAGTCACTTAGCCATCTCAGTTTTAATATGAGCTGTGGTATGGCAGGGCTGGAGTTCAAGTGACATTTATTGTAATTAATAATGGCTCTAAAGGTCAGGAGTGATCATTTAGACAGGCCAAAAAGAAGCTGAAAAGTGCTTCCCTTGAGTTAAACGGCAAAAGGTATTGACTTAGTACAAAAAAAGATTAATATATAAAAAGATTAGTGAGAACAAATCCTCTAGCTGGTTTTTTAAAATTTAATTTTGTTATTTTTAAAATTGTGTGTGTGTGTGTGTGTGTGTGTGTGTGTGTGTGTGTGTGTGTGTGTGTGTATGAGTGTGTGGAGACTTGTGCTCAAACCAAAGATGTCCGTTCCCCTGAAGCTGGAGTTAAAGCAGTTGGGTGCTGCCCAGGGTGGGTGCTGGGAATCAGACTCAGGTCCTCTGGGAGAAGAGTACATGCCCTTACCCACTGAGCTCTCTCTCTCCAGCCCTATCTGCGCAGTTTTGAAGAAAGAAAAAAGAAAATTGCCCTAGGTTTACTCTTATATCTCAAACTTCAAAATTCCTAGCCACCATGTATAAGCACAACGTATAGCTGAGATAGAACTGAGATAGAAAAGGCATTGCATTTGTGCATGTGTAGAAAAAAACATAGTATCCATAGGGGTCGTATTTGTGGTCACAGGCATCAGCTGGAAGGCTTGGGACATGTAGACGAAGGAGACTACTGTGTTGAGACGTGGGGGAAGAGGATGGGGGTTAGAACGAACTGCATGTACCTATTTAATAATTCGGTTCCTTCTGGTCTCTGTAGTTAATTCCATTACACAGAAAACTGAATAATGTCAATTATATCCACACAAGTATTTTGATATGCATAAATGAAAGTCAATGCCAGTAACTCAAGGATGATTTGCCAATAAATGAGAGATTCACTCTAAGGAAAGAGCAAATTATTAAAAGGAGCCTAAAAATAAGCTTTCTGTACCTGAGAGGAAATAAACTACCAAGCAATCAAAATGAAATTAAAATATTCTCTTACAGACATATTCAGAAATGATATTAAAATACATTTTAACATGCCGAAATTAAGGGCAAGATGTGTTTGTGGCTCAGTTTCTTCCATATTCACTTACTATTATTAAAAATTTCGCTAAAATGATCTCTTAAACAGTTTTGTAAGTTAAGCTCGTCAGTGGTAGGGCTTGGTGTAGTGGCACATGCCTGCCATCCTGGCACTTAGGAGACACAGGAAGAAGTAAGGGCAGGCTCTTTCTTTGAGATGGGGTCTTATTATGCAGACCAGGCAATCCTGGAACTTGGTATGTAGACCAGGCTGCCCTGGCACTCACAGAGATCTGCCTGTCTCTGCCTCTGGAGTGCTGGGTGGGACTAACGGTGTGCACCATAACACCTGCCTTCCAAGTTATTCTTGCCTCCGTGTTGAGTTTGAAGCAAGCTAGGGTTACATGAGACCCTGTTACAAAAGGCTGGGTATTTATAGGCTTCGGTTTGGCCAATTTCACATTTTTTATTGGTTAGAAGTGTGGTAAATTGATACAATTTGTTCAAATTGATATCTCAGGTTTAAACGGTCGAATCCACTGTTATAAAGGAGCCCAAAGCTGCTACTGAAAAACAGTTCAAAGAGCAGATTTCTGTTGTTATTATTTTATTTTCTTGAGACATGGTTGCTCTATGTACCCCTGGCTGTCCTGGAAATTGCTATGTAGACCAGGCTGTCCTGAAACTCACAGAGATCTGCCTGCACCTGTTTCCAGAGTGCTGGGATGAAAGGCGTGTATCACTACGCCAGGCTGGAGTTATTTATGATCAATAATTTATTTTGTCATAAGGTTATAAAACTGATGCATTAATCTTTGCATAAATGCTGAGTTAAACATAATTTGAGTCATAAAAAAATCCAGTTCAACATTTTGAAAACCTGGAAGGACTTCACAAGAGATTCAGCCTCAGGAAGAGAAATACTATGTACTTCCGCTGAGCTGAGTTGGTGAGTGGTGTAGTTCTTCAGTAAGGCAAATTGTTCATTGGGCTGTCAAGGTGTTGTCAGCATTTGGGGATGCAAATAAAGAAGATTGTCATTGTCATGCCCCCACCCCCAGCAACCGGAGAAGCTCCCCTAGAGTTTTAGGGACCTTGACTCAGGCTGACCCAGGATTCATGGCTTCGGCATTCAAAAGGATTCCAGGACTGAACAGTTTATGAGGAAAGTCAATACTATAGTAATATAGACTAACTTGAGGGCCAGGAGAGAGTGCTTGGAGCTGCATCATGGCTGAGAGTAAGGGCGTGGGCCGCTCAAAGACCACCAAAGCAGACTGTTTTAGACAATAGTTATACATGAAGTTTTGCCAGAGTTTGAAGTTAGTATCTTATCACTGCATGGTTCCTGGGGGCACTTGGTGGTGTTACAGTCCATAAGGAGACGTTTTACCCCCAGGGCTGTTGGATAGCCTTACTGTAAGCCATTTTGCTTGAGACTCTCTGGCAAAGTCTGGGGAGAGGAATGAGCCTGCCCAAGGTTGTATACACTCGGGCCTTAAGCTTGGGGTGTTGCTACTTTAACATAAAATATGCATGTATGAGCCGGGCGGTGGTGGCGCACGCCTTTAATCCCAGCACTCGGGAGGCAGAGCCAGGCGGATCTCTGTGAGTTCGAGGCCAGCCTGGGCTACCAAGTGAGTCCCAGGAAAGGCGCAAAGCTACACACAGAGAAACCCTGTCTCGAGAAACCAAAAAAAAAAAAAAAAATATGCATGTATGAAAGGATTATTAACTCTATGTCAGCATCCTGTACAGCAAATAGTGTGTTGGAGTTCTTGGTTCTCACCTGGTGACAGGCTTTTTTTTTTTTTTTTTTTTTTTTTTAACAGTTTCATCGTGTAGCCCAGGCTGTCCTGGAACTCACTATGCAGCCAGGCTGGCCTCAAACTCACAGAGATCTGCCTGCCTCTGCTGCCTAAGGGCTGGTGTTAATGCTCTGGGATGAAGGATTCTCCCCCCGCCATCCCGAAAATCTCCTGTCTATCTTACCTCAGGATGGTCACAATTCTCTTCTGACTTCATAGTCCAAACTTCTTTTCCATTCTAAGTTTCTCTCCTATAATAAAGTCCTCGGAAACTTTATATAAGGGGGGAAGAAAAGCCAAGGGAGAAAATGCAGAGAAATTTCCTGTCCAAGTGGGATGTGAGAGGAAAGACAGAATACATAACCATAAGGGAAATACATAATCTAAGGGAAAGCATAACTCATATAATTCATAACTGGTTTTGAGACATTAAATAAAAGAGGTTGTAGAACCAGATTTCTCCTCAGACAATGGAAGGCATATTGAAAAGCCATTTAGTTAATAGAGTGTAGTCTTAAAATACAGCAGAATGTTTGTACTGGCACATTGCTTTTCTCTTTTGAAAGTCATTACACACCATTATCTTTTACTATTCACAGCAATCCTGTGAAAAGTGCCCCAGGTCCTCTCAGTCCACAGCACAGACGCTGGGACCCACCAGCTCAGGCCACCACTGGACTTCCGTGGGATCCTTGCAAGATTAGAGCAGCGTCAAGCAGCTCAGCTGATTCCAGCTTCTGGGATCCTGTGGTCAAGAGCAGAGTGTGACTGTTGCTCCGTTTGCTCACAGGCTGCAAGGGAGTGCCAGGCTCTTTGGGGTAGGAAATATGGCAAGGTGGTCAAAGGCACAACCTGTTAAGGGGCTTCAGAGCAATTTGGGTTGGGCTCCCCAAACCTTCTCTCATTGAGCATGACCTTTGGACAACGTTTTGAGCCTCAGCTTTCACAGGAATCGCATATCAGATATCTTGCATATCAGATATTTACATTACGATTCATAACAATAGCAAAATTAGTTATGAGGTAGCAACAACAATAATTTTCGCGGTTGGGGGTCACCACAACATGAGGAACTGTATTTAACAGGTTGCAGCATTAGGAAGGTTGCAAACCACTGACGTATACTTTCCTTTATTCCATGGGCGCTTTACTGACAATTGAACAAATGACCGCTTGGGTCACAGAAAGCATTCGTGAACTGGCAGCTCCAAATAAATACCTAAGCCTTGGAACACTCAGGAAACTACCTGTGTAGGTTAGGGAATCTTTATGTGAAAAATGGGTGCAGCGTAGCCCGCAGTTTTCAAGTAGTAACCATTACTTTGCAAACAAAACTACCATCATTCCTCTTTCCCTATTCTTTATGGCGCTTGTTTCCACAGGGTTGACTTGGAGGAGAGGATCAGAAGCAGGGAAAAGCGAGAGGGATGGGAGAGTGAGGCAGGGCAACCTCGCTCTGCTTGTAAATAGCTCAGGTTCCAGTCGCACCCAGGACGACCGTCCGCGCCCAGGGCCCGGCCCGCGAGGGAAGCCTTCGCCCGAACCCCGCAGGCAGGCTCTGGGAATCTGGGAAAGGGCGCTGGGAAAGGGTGCCGGGAAGCAGGGGGCGGGGCCCTGGGGGCGGGCCTATGGGGAATCGGGGGGCGGGGCCCGTGGCTCGAGGGCGGGGCCAGGGGCGGGGTCCAACAGAGTTTCTCCGCTGCGCGCGCCACGTCTCCCTCTGCGAGCGTGTGGAGGAACCGGCCGGGGAGGGAACCAGTCGCGTGGGGCGGGAACTAGCTCCTCTCGCGAGAGTTGGCGACGGCCGCGGCGGCGGCGGCGGCGGCGGCGTGTCCGTGAGAGCGGCGTGGGGGCGGGGAGGAGAGGCGGCGGCGACGGCGGCGGCGGCGGCGGCGGCGGCGTCCGAGCTACGCCACACGGGGCCGGGGCGCCGGGAGCCGGAGCGCAGCGCGGGGTCGTGGCGGCGGCGGCGGCGGTGAGGGGAGCGCGGCGGAGGCGGCGGAACCATGGCGGGCCAGCAGTTCCAGTACGATGACAGCGGGAACACCTTCTTCTACTTCCTCACCTCCTTCGTGGGGCTCATTGTGATCCCCGCCACCTACTACCTCTGGCCGCGAGACCAGAATGCGGGTGAGTCCCGTCGGCGCCCCGCTCCGCTCCCGGCTGGCCGGCCGGCCGGCCGCGCCGTCCTGCCCGCAGGCGCTGCCCCTGCGTCCCGGTGACGCCGCCGGCGCGGCCCGGCCCGGCCTGAGGGCCCGCCGGCCGCGGGGGCCCGAGCTCGCTCGGCGGCGATTTCCGGGGCCGATCGCCTGCGTGGTCCGCGGGAGTTGGGCTCGGACCCGCTCGGCATTGTTCTGGAAGTCCCTGGTCCGCTGCCTCTTTGTCTTGCCCGCCTCTGCCGTGTCGGGTGTTTTTTTCTGGAGCGAGCGGGATGGGCCGGGGAGGATGGGGATGGGGATGGGGATGGGGGGCGGGAGGAGAGTTGCCGACGGGGAGCCGGGGCGTGCAGGCACGACTCCGGGACCTCCGCTCCCGTCCCCCTCCTTCCCTCTCTCCCATCCCGGTGTCTCTGCTGCAGCTGTTGGTACAGATGTTTGGGGGGCACCCCTGAGCTGGGTGGCGTGTTTGGGACTTCCAAGTGAGCTCACCAGCCGCCCACCCTGTCACTTCCTCCCTTTTGCTTTTTTCATTTGTTCGCTCACATCGTGGGGGCTGGAAGCGCTGCCGTTATTCCTTTTATAAAAGCGAAAATAGGTTTCTCTCCGTTGCCTTTGCTTTCCTCTGTGGAGTTTCCTGTTTACGACGGACGGGAAAGTTCGCGAGGATGAAGGTTCATTGATCGGAGGGGGTAGTTAGTTGTGGGGTCGCTGGCCCATTTGCTTTTCGTTCTTCAGGCTTTTCACATTAAACACGGTGTCAGAGCGCAACCCAGAATAGTTTCACGGAATGTTAGGTGTATTGTAGTGCTGGATTCTGTCTTTACTAAGACATATGGCGCGAGGTAGTCTTAAAGCTGATGGCACTAAGTGCAAGCGCCTAATGGGTTATTTCTGGTGGTGTTAACCATAATTAATAGGTTTGGGGTCTAACAGCAGCGCTGAGGGAAGGCTTTCTGTGTCTAAAGTTGCTTTTAGGTTGGGTGTGGTGATGATCAAGGTTGTCTAGGTTGTGTGCTGCACCTTGGGAAAAATTGTTACCAGTGAAGTTCAGAACTTGTTACACTTTGATGAGAGAATTTCCAGTGTCCTATAAAATTATTTAGTTATGCAATAGAACTAAAGTAAATTTAGGATAAAGAGCAAGCAAGGATTGTATCTTTTTACATTTGACAGTAAGTTTGAGTATCCATTACAAGTAACAGTTTACCCTGGTTTCTCATTCAGGGCTGGTTTATGAAATTGCGTTTCAACTCTTGTGTTCTGTGTTTCTAAGTGCATTTAGATAGTGTGGGTGTTTGGATAGTGGTGTGCATACTTTTAAAGGTGTCCTAATACAGAAATGTTTTTTCTTGACTTGCACACCTAAACTTAACACCTTAAGTTCTTTTTAAGTTAAAGGGATCCATGCCCAGTGTGGTGGCTCACAAATACTATCCCAGGCTTTTGAGAGTTCAAGGCCACTGGCACCGGCTACATAGTGAGTTCAAAGCCAGCCTGGCAACATGCGACCTTGCCTCAAAAATAAGCCAGCAAAATGGCCCAACAGGTAAAGGCCCTTGCCTCAAAGCCTGGCAACTTGATTCAGGCCCCTGGAACCAAAGGGTCAAAGGGGAAAACTGACTTGGAGACTAGTCCTCTGACCTCCACAGGAGGGCTGTAGGCACCTGTAGGCACCACACTGTGTGACTAAAACAATAAGAAACAAGAACAGCGGTGGGAGGTCTACTTTTCAGTATTGTAGTTTATGTGCATTTAGCACCTACCTGTCTGGTTGGTTGTGTAGAAGACAAATGGGCGTTGGGACAGTAGGTAGATTGGTTGAATATTATCAGGAGCTGCTTTGATTTCAGAAACTCTGCTTCATGGAAATTAAGACTATGTGTTTTTGAAAATTGAAAGTGAATTTTTAATGGTAATTTTGGGCTACAAAATTTGTTTGATAACAAATCATGCAAGATGTACTTGTGCCTTTTCCTTCGGGGAGGGTCTTTGGAGAAGTGCTAGTAGTGTAGTGGAAGGGATTAATTGTGACTGGATAAATCTCGACCTCCCAATATTAGTTCTCAAAGTCTTCTTTAAATTGTAGAGGAACTCGGTGTGGTGGTAGATGCCTTTAATCTCAGTACTTGGGAGGCACAGGCAGGCAGAACTCTGAGAGTTAGAGGCCAGCTAGGGTTACACACTGAAGGACTTTGTCTCAAATGTAACCAAAACAATGGGGTGAGGTAAGAACTATCATCATTGTCCTCAGTTCACTGATGAGACCCTGGAGGCTGGGTAAGTTTTCTGTATGGCAGAGACTACATTAGAACACTGTTAGCTTCAAAGTCCTTTGTTTCCATGTTGTTAGATTAAAAGGATACAGGAACTCTGCTGTATTTTGTTTCTACTTTCCATCTGGCTCTCTGCTTCAGGTTTGCCTTAGTAAATACACACCTGTTGATGTATTTGGTCTTGCCCCAAACTCATGGTGGAAGTGAAGGATGTTTCAGTGCTGTTGTAATCATTAAGAGACTTGTGGTCATCATTGCTTTTCCCTGGATTTACTGTTACTTATGTTATTTCTTTAGAACTACAGTGATAGTAAAAGGATGCTTTCATGATTAGGACCCCCTCCTCCAGTTCACTTGCAAGGTCTTGACTATCAGAAGTCTTGAGTTACAGGTTCATCCAAAGCCCCTGAAAAAGAAAGTTTTTCAAACATGTTCATAGCAAAATAAGTTGCTCATTTGTTGTTGTGTGGCTGCTTTTATAGCTTTTGCATGATCATCTCATTTAGAAAATAGTCTTATTTTCCTTTTGGAATATTAATTTCCTTGGCTATTAGTAATGTGTGCATGTGTTTTTAAATTATATTTTCATTTATTTTGTGTATATGTTTGTAGGCAGAGGAAAACTTCTGGGAGTCAGTTTTCTTCTACCCTGTGGGTTCTGAGATTGAACTAAGAGTGTCAGGGATGGCTGCAATCACCTTTCCCTCCTGAAGCCATCTCATCTTCCCTCCATGTTAATTTTGTTGTTGTTGTTGTTGTTGTTTTTTTCCTCTGTGTAACCCTGGAACTCCCTCTGTACACCAGGCTGGCCTCAACTCTCAGAGCCTGCCTCTGCCTCGAGCGCTGGGATTAAAGGCGTGTGCCATCATTGCCTGGCTCTATGTAAATTTTTTAAAAATTTAAAGTATGCATGTGGGGCTTTCAGTCTGAAAGTTCACAGTTGTTTCTGCTTGGCTTTCTTGGAATTCTTGAGCTCTTGAGTACACTGTAGAATGTAGTGCCATTTCACAGACTTTGAAATTTAGGGTTTGGGAAAACAGAAATAGCTTAGTCTTTGCCATATTTGATATGCCAATTGACTTACTCTCTAAACATTATTAGTGGAATCTTTTTGCCCTGAGTTTAGTCTTTTGTGTTGGACCAAGTATACTTTTTAGTAGTGAAAGTCTTCTTGGCTCTATGAAAATTGGTGAAATAAAATGGATCTGTATGAAAAAGTAACGACATGGATGGTTTAGATTTCCTTGTAACAGTGGTTCTCAACAGAGGCTACAAGTAAAATTACTCAGGGAGCTTACACACACAGGTGTCTCTAGAGACTCTCATCTAATCAATCTAGAGTGAGTGATACATGTTGATATTTTATAACAAAAGGTCTAAATTGTAGGTAAATTGGAGAGGACTGCTTAGAGAACCTTCTTGGGATGGCTTTTGTTGGAGTTTATTTTGGGTGGTAGTTTTGGTATGTACTTTTTGCTACAAAACAACCCCTCCCAAACAAACCAAACCAACTAAACAAACAAACAGAACAGAAACACAGAAATTAGAACCAGAGAGTTGGCACAGTGGGTAAGAGCACTTTCCCTATAAACCCGACCACCTGAGTTGGATCCTGGACCCCACTGGGAGAACCAAGACTAGAAACTTGTTCTTTAACCCCTCGCAGACACTGGCATGCATACACACCACCACCACCATTAAAAAAAAAGTGTCCTAGCCTTTGTGATTTAGAATCTCTTTAAAACGGTGCTTAATAAAGTTCTGGAAGTCAAAAGTAAAAATTTTTGTCAAGACAACTCAAATTTTTTTTTTTTTATGTATGTGTATGCGTTTTTTTTGCCTACATGTCTGTGGGTATACCTGATAGCCTCGTGCCTGAGGAGGTCAGAAGGTGGTATCAGATTCCCTGGAAGTCAAGATCTAGAGTTCTGTATGCTTGTGAGCCACCATGGGGGTGCTGGGAACAGAACTCAGGTCCTCAGTGAGAGCAGCAAGTGCTCCCTTAACTTCTGAGCCATCCATCCTTCCATCCCCAAAGACAACTTTAAATGGAGTTTATAACCAGTTTATTGTAGTTTTCCATTAATAGATTCCAGAGTAGTTACTATTATGCCGTGATTGGAGTCTTTAGTATTTCATCCATTCTTAACATTCTGAAATAGTTGCAGTTACCTCAGCCACTTCCTATCTTCGTTTTTCCATAAATACTGCACTGTGACTTGGTGTGCACTGCCCTCTTTCTTCTTTCTGTTTTTATAATTAAACACATTTTTTTTTTGGCCTCCCAATTGCTGTGATCAAAGGTATGTGCCACCACCCATGCCCAGCCTATTTATTTATTTATTTTTTAAAAAGATTTATTTTGTTTTTTTTTTTGTTTTTTTTTTTTTTTGGTTTTTTGAGACAGGGTTTCTCTGTGTAGTTTTGCGCCTTTCCTGGAACTCGCTTTGTAGACCAGGCTGGCCTCGAACTCACAGAGATCCGCCTGGCTCTGCCTCCCGAGTGCTGGGATTGTTATTTTTTAAATTGTGTGTATGTGTTGTGAGGGGAGGGTAGTATGTATATGTGAGTGTGGTTTCCTGTGGAGTCCAGAAGATTTCAGATCGGCCTAGAGCAGGAGTTACCAGGTAGTGGTGATGGGAACCAAACAAGTCCTCTGGAAGAGTGCACGTACTCCTAACTGCTGTGCCGTCTTTCC